CTCAGCTCTTCTCTGGCTGGGAGCTTCCAAAGTGTTGCTGCATCTGTTGCTGTATCTGCTGATGGTGGGGATGTGGCTGACCACTCTTTGGTCGGGACTGGTCAGTTCCATGGTGCTTCGGTTGTAAGGAAAGCTGAGAGGCCTGAGCGCCCTGCACAAGATTCCTCTTTTTCTGCATCTGAACTTCCTGTTGCAAAGTTCTCTGTTGGTGGACATTATGGGGCTGAGAGTGGACAGAGGTCTCTGCATGAGGTATGTGATGCTGCAGTTGATATAAGTGATGCCTCTCCCTTAACTGCCCTGCTTGCTGCTGCTGCTGCTGCTGCTGCTGCTGCTGCTGCTGCTGCTGCTGCTGCTGTTGCTGCTGCTGCTGCTTTAAGTAGAGATGGTTACTATGCAGATGAGATACCCCCTGAGCTGGAACATGCTGTTGCAGGGCCTGCAGATGTTGACCTGCCTGGGTTTGCTGCTGCTCAGCAACTGAAGAGCTACACTGAACTTCAGTTTGTCTCAATGCAGGGGCCAAAAAGTTGTTACTAGGTGGAAATAATCGTGTAAGGCCATCTCCATGTGCTGGGTTGCTAATAGGCACAACTGAGTTTGAAGAGTTGGGAGGGATCTGACTAACCATCATTTGAGTTTGATCAGAAATGTTGTCTGGAGTTTGGCTCATCAGGGACATACCTTCGAGCCTAAGTGGGGCTGGCTGACAATGCTTTTGACGTTTAGCTGAAGACAGCAGAAGGTCATCTTGGACAGCACGCTTAGCAGAATCTTTACGGCTTTCATGACCCGGCTTTAAGAGTGGCTCTTGAATCTGTGGATTTGGTATGGTACCAGTCATAGTGTTTAGTTGTTCTTGGGAATATTCAGTCATCAGAGATGGTCCAGGAGGCTGATTGCCATAGGAAGTTGATGAAACAGTCAAATTAACCGTAGCAGGAATAGTTGTTTGCTCTGAAGTTTGAGATAAACCAGCACAGCTGACAAGAGGATGGCTGATGCTGCTCTGGTGGATAAGATTATTCACACTTAAACTGGTGATGCTTGGTGGCTGAGAAGTCGAAACCTGTAAAGAGGCAGTTGATGTTTTAATTCCTGCAGAACAACTTGATTTTTCAAGGGGCCTATCCATAGTTACTTCAATTGACTCCTGAGAATTAAATTCATTTGGTGTTGCTTCTGCCTGTCCTGGGCCATTGTCTTTAGAGGTCTGTGCTTTGAAAGGCTGGTCTCCCTCTAAAGATGATGCTTCAGAAGGTTTTGAAGTAACTTCCCTTAAATCAGCCTGGGTGCCAGCTCTTCCCTTCTCCAGGTTCTCCTGGTCAAAAATAGCTCTTGCTGCAAGAGCAACTATATCAGTTTGCTCTACGAAGGTACAGCTGTCACATGTATTAGTTGTTGCATTGCTGGTGACATCCTCTCTAGTTGTTTCAGGCAGCATGGATGCAACTGAGAAACTACGACTACTGCCAGAGCTGGTTGACATGGGAGAGTCAGTCTGTCTACTGGTGAGCAAAGAACCATGAATAACCTCCTGATCAGAGATGCAGGAAGGATGCTGTCCTGGATCTCTATCATCACTGCTCATCAGTAGCAGGTCCTGTTTAGGATGTAAATCAACACTTGAATCAACCGTTTTAGAATTTTCTGAAGAAAAGTCAGGGTGGTCCACCTGGACTGAAAGAGATTTCTGAGGGTCTTTTTCTTTAGCAAAACCAGAGAGCAATGCAGTTAAACCTTGCCCCTTTAAGAGACCCGTGGTTTGCATTGTATCTGATGAATCTTGCTCAACTCTGCAGGGTTCAGCAATGATTTCTACCTCAGAAACACAGTCAGTACTTACAGTGCTCATGGTAGATGATAAACCAGAAACCTGAGAAACCAAAATGTGGGCATCACTTGGTGATGGAATCAACACGTTGGCTGAAGTACAGGATTTGGCAGTATCTGGCAATGCTAAACTAGTTGGTGGCTTATCCTGAGATGTCTCTCGTTGCAAAACAGGGGCAGAATCTTTGGATTTTGCTGGGGTCATTGCAAAATGTTCACTTGTTACAGATTCTTGGGAGGATAAGCTAGACTCTTCTGCTGACTTAGATTTGGGCACAGACTCAGGTATCGCTGATTCAGAATTCGGAACATCCAAAGAATGTGAACCAGAAACACTTACAGTACTCTTCGCCTGGGACATAGTGACAGATGGTAACACAACAGGGGGGCTTTCCAGCAGTCCATCATTACATGGTGGCCCCGCCAAGCCTTCAGTGCTGGGGCAGTCTGCCTTGCCCACATCTCTGACTGGATTCAGGGAGCACACTGACTTGTTAGCTACTAAATGTTTCTTGACACCCGGCTTCTTATTCAACCTTTTCGACTTCACATTAGGCAAACCAGCTACAGTGTTCACCGAAGGAGTAGTCACTAGATTATAAATACTGGGTAGTGTGGCTGAATTATCTGTTGTCATGGGAGATGCTACAGTTGCTGTTAATGAAACACAGTTTGCTGGGGTGGTTTGACCATTTGCAGCAGTTTGAGGATTGGCAGGCTGGCTAACAGACAACTGTACACAGCTTTGCCCAGCCATCTGTGATATGCTTTGATTGAGGCTGGCCAAAGCGCCAAATGTATTCAGGGCAACATTGGTATTTGGATCTTCGCTGGTGGTGGGTTGAATAATTTGCATAGGGGTTTGGTTTGTAGTTCCTGATGAAGACATCACAGGCTGCAAAGCAAAGAGCTGTCCATTTAAAGAAATGGTTTGAGGCTGTTGTTGGTTTGACATGGTAACAGAAAAAGTTTGTGTTGAGTTAGATGTTGATAAAGATGAAGGTCTTGGTAATATGTGGACAAGATGCTTTCCTCCAAAAGTTTGTGGGGTTGAAATATTTTGCATTGAATTAGACCCTATTATAGCACTGGCTCCATTGACAGGGAGTCGAATAGAACCAGGAGGTGGAGCTGAGAGGAGTGGCAAAGGATTCTGATTAGCTGCCTGTATAATTACTATCTGTTGACCTACGGTTTGGTTGGGAACCTCTGCCCTCATCACTGTTGGGCATGGGGTGGTGCTGGGTGGCTGAAGAATGATAACGTTTTGATTGGCTGGAGCTGCATTAACAGCTGATCCGACTGGCTGAGCCATCTGAATCACCTGCATTGCTGAATTCAATGGAAGGATATTTTTTGGAGGCTGAGATTTAACTTGTGGCTGGGCAATTAGTGGCTGCATAGGTAAAGATGGACAAGAAGGCAAGGTTACAACTACTTGCTCAACTGGCTGCCCATCTACTGGAAAGGAATTATTCAAGTTGATGCCTGTAGCCACATGTCTACTGCGGCTGGTTGTGGTGGGGCTAGTACCAGATTCATTTAACACTGGAGTCAGAGCAGAAGACGGTGTCTGGCTTAAGGGCTGAATAGTGTTTCCCGCCAGTTGCAAAGTAGTCCACGTTGTCTGTGTGTTTCCAGCTGAGGAAATTCGGGTAAGGCTATTAATGTTTTTCAAATCTGAAGCACTAACAGCTGACGAAGGCAAAGAACAAGAAAGAGTCCAACTATTATCCAAAGGGTTTGCAGAAAGACTGCCCACAGAAGTGGTGGTCTTCCCTCCTCCAGGGGCAGATGGGGCAACCACTGTGGTAACACTTGTCGAGTCTGCACCCTTGCTTATAACCACCGGACAAGAATCACCTGCAGATCTGGGAGGCTGGGAGCAAATTGTGGTGGTAACTGAAACAACAAAGGTGGTTTGAAAATCACTTGTGAAATCTTGTATGCTCAGGCAGGACTTGCCTCCATAGTTCACTTTAGTGGCAGTTGCTGAAGAGCTGGAGGGAATGTTTGTGGCACAAGGGACAGTTTTGTTCAACAATTTCGGGCTCTCTTGCCCATTCTTATTTTCAGAAGAATTTTGATCATTTAGACTTGTATGCAAGGAACGATGTTGGGGAGGTTCAGGCCCAACAGAAACAGCAATCAGTGAGCCACTGGTGGCACCAAGCACACTTGATTCACTTTCAGAGGTGGAAAGCTCAAGAATATTTTGAGTAGAAATGGTAGCAGGAAGACAAAGAGGAACAGGCTGGTTGGCAGCCAATGCAGAAACTGTAGTCTGATGCCATGGCTTGTTTTCAGAAGGGTAAACTCCAGAAATAGACACAGGAGTCACGAGATTGCAAGTCCTCTGTACTGGCACCACATTGGCGGTTTGCTTTTGTAAATTATGACCAACATTAAAGGTTATCCCCTGAACAGCTGTTCCCTGGCTGTTTCCACCAGGCTGACTCCCATTGGAATAAACAATAATATTTTTCTGAACTTGGTCACTGGGAATAACAACAGAGACCTTTGAGCTTTTAAGATTTCCCTTCCAGTGGATTGTAGGGTCATCATATAAGCATATGTCATTTGCTTTCAGTAATTCAATGTATCGGCCATTTTCTTTTTGAATTTCTTCCAGTTGTTTACGTAGCTTTTTAATTTCTTCAGCTACAATATTAAAAATAAAAATGAAACAATTACTTGTAAATGTCAGTATTTACAATAACTTAAGAAAGAACTGTGTACTAAAACTCCTGAATTCTAATTCTAGTGTTCTAAATACCTCAGTTGAGAATCATCATCTCTTTTCTAATACAAGTTCTCTCTTCTTGTTAGAATGGTATCTCAAACCGCTATCCCATACTTTTAAAAGTATATATCTTTAAAGGACGACAACTCAAAGGTAAAAAATTATTCATAATGTAGAAATCTCAAAATCCCCAATTCAAAAAATCCCAACAGGGCAGCTGCAAAGGTGAAACAAGGAATGAAATATTGACATCATGGTGACGAATTAGGAAAATAACATTGAAAATCAATATAATAGCATTTAAATGCTACAACAGCTAACATTACTTATAGTAGTAATAGCTAGTCTCTTTTATAAATGGCTTTAAACTAGTTTCCATTTTATCCTTTGAAACAATGGAGACCAAAGTAGGACATGTAGGAAACAAAGTGGTAGAGCACAGAGAAAAGTATCAACAATGGAACCAGCATTTTCCTTGGGAGGGCCAACGTATATATGCTACTGAGTAATGAAGACGTCCGTCACACTCCTACTCCTTTCTAAGGAAGGCAGTCTCACCAATGAATCCTACTATGGGGCAGCTTTGGGGGCTGGTATTTATGCTCTGTGACCCCATACACCACTACCTGCCTTGCCATAGTGGCAGGTAGTCTCCCCAATCCCTCTGCCAAAGGAAGCCAGTCAAGGCCAATTTCCCATGAGGTAGCCTGAAATGAAAAGCTCTGTTCTGACAAGGATGAGATGAAAACTAGCAGATTATTTATCTCTTTTACTTCTCATAACAACCATGGGAAGCACCTACTGTCATCGCCATTTTCAGATGTGAGAAACAGACTCAGAGCAGTCATATAACTTGTCTAAAGTCAACCAGATAGATGCTATGATTATCCTCTTTTTAAGATAGGGAAACTGAGACTTGGAGAGGTTAAGTAACTGGTCAAAGGTACTGAGTGAGTAAACGAAATTAAGACACAAACCCAAATGGGCCTGACTCTCAAGGCCGTTGCTCTGGCCACTGTTCTAGACTGTCATGTGGATGGCGAGTATGTGGGGGAAGCTGTTGGGAGGTGAAGAGAGAGCAGACGCACAAAAAAAGAGCTAAAGAAAGGATGACAACAGAGATGACAATGTAGTCACACTTAAGCTGCCTCAGGTGCTACCCCAACCCCTGGCCTGGCTATTCGGCTTTTCCTGAGCCCCATGCAAATTGTATTTTTTCAGTAGTTTCCTTTTTCCTTAAAGTACCTTGACTGCCTTAGCCTCTGGGCTGTGAAACCAAAGAAGCCCTCACTAGGAAAGCCTACACATCATTAGAGCCTAACGGTCCCTTTTGTGGAGTGCCTCAAAATGATTACCAAACATATATTATGTATCTAATTACCTAAAAGCATCACAAAACAGGGCCTGGATCATAAAAGATAGCTGATCTAGGTGAGGGATTAAGTTGCCATCTAACTAAAAGTAAACAAGAATTCTGAAGGCTGACCTGCTGGATATACTTTCCAATAACCTTCCAGCTTCTTACAATAAACACATCCCTGTATTACCCCCCAGCTCTACAAAATTCTGCCTTTGTTTCTCTCCTTTTAATGTGACCTTCTGCATTGTCACAGACAATTTTCTCTCTGCTCTTGTCAGAGCCATAAATAAAGGATAATTTGAAGTGGCCTACCACTCTGAGCTTTATATTTGCCAGTGAAATTTTTCTTTTTAGCTGTTAGAAGGTAACCTTTTTTCCAGTTCAACTGGAAAAAGAGAACTCAGTTGATAGCATAAAAAAACTCACCTCTATCTAAAAATCAAATAGCATTAAATGTTAGGCAGTCTGATGCACACATTACATGTAATATAAATAATTACAAACTAAATGTTTTGGGCTTCTGAGTAAATTCACAGTTAAGTGTTGTTTTTAAGTTACACTGAGCAGGATTCTCCCCTACATCCTCTTATGGGATTCCCCTAGCTGGAAGATCCAACTGCAATAAAGGCAATCCAGTATTATTTGTATCATGAGTTAAGTAAACATGAAATACACAGTAGAGTCCAAAATCAAAATTATACATGCCTGCATGATTAGAGTTGCTCACAGAAGGGGGAAAAGAGGTAAACTAAAATGAATTTATTTGCAACACTATTCTCCCAGTGTTGTGTAATCTTAATAACATTTCGGGGCAAAAAAAGCCTTCTGTATCCTAATGTAAGTTGCACGGTGACACAAAGGCCTGAACAGTGAAAAAACGACAAAAAGAATCTTAAAATCTTTACCTTGTTCATTGTTTCCTCCATTAAGCAAGAGTTCATCATTTTGCCTTTTCAATTCTGTTATGTATTTAAAGGCTTGGTCCAAGATCATATTCTTGCTCTGCCAAAGAAAATTAACCATTTAAAAGTTTCGCTGAAGAGTAAGAACTTGCCAGAAGAAACTTGAAGCTTTGGTTTTATCACACATATATAACATGTATCTTTAAATTTTTTTAAAGGCGCCATATTCAAAAACTTCTGTTCATCTAAGTATTTATTGAGCATCTACTATATGTCAGGCTCTGTCCTAAGTACTAGGGATGTAATAAACAAAACAGAAAAAAGCTTCTGACTTTGAGGAATTTTATTTATATATATAAGTATAAAATCAATGGTGATGTGCTATGAAGAAAAATAAAGCAAAGTAAAGAGGGGCCAGATAGATGGCAGAGGTTACTCTGTGCTACAGACTGAATGTTTGTGTTCCCCTACAATTCATGCTGACACCCTAATCCCTGGTGTGATGGTATTTGGAGGTGGGGCCTTTGGAAAATAATTAGGTCATGAGTGTAGATCCCTCATAAATGAGATCAGTGCCTTTAGAAGAAAAGACAGGAGATGTGATCACTCCCTCTCTGTCATGTGAGGATGTAATTAGAAGAGAACCCACATCAGGAACCAAACTGGCTGGCACCTTGATCTTATACTTCCCAGACTCCAGAACTTTGAGAAATAAATGTCAGTTGTTTAAGTCACCCAGTCTATATTATTTTTCTTATGACAGCTCAAATGTCTAAGACACTCTGCTATAATCTATTTTGTATAGGGAGGTTGAGGAAGGCCTCTCTGTAAGGTGACATTTGAACACGGACCTGAAAGAAGTCCAAGGAAGTATGCCCTGTGGGTATCTGTAGGAAGAGGATTCAGGTAGCAGGACTGACAAGAGCCAAGGCTCTCAGGCAGGGCAGTGTTTGGCGCATTGGAGAAACAGTAAGGAGGTGAGTGGGACGAGAATGAAGTATACAGTAGAAGAGCAGGGGGAGAAAAGGCCAACGAGGACCTTCAAAACCATGTAAAGATTTTAGATTTGATGTTATTCTTTACTCTGTCAACTACAACTACAAACTATTCCACATAATAAGTTGAGAAAATAATGTCACTTGATTGTGCTTTGGTGTCATGGTCCCACTATAGTCCATTCCTAAACTTTTCAAAAAGATTGCATTTTATGTCAAAGTGTTCCTTTATTATTTAGTCTGAATTAACCATTTTTAAAACTAATAACATAATGTGTGTATATGGCAAAAAAAAAAAATGTAAATAACATGAAGGGATATAAAATGAAAAGTAACATTCCTTTTCACTTTAACTCTCCAGACCCTTTTCCAGAGGAAACTGCTGTAAAGTTACTTGTGTATCCTTCCAGAAACATTCTATGCCCATATATGTGTATATATATTTTTTAAAGCCGATGCAAGCATACTATAAACAGTATGTTACATTAGTTTTTTAATTTAAAAATATATCTTGGAGATATTTCCATATAGCATTTAAATATCTATATCTATTATCATACTTTCTAAAGGCTATACTTATTTTATTACCAGTCTGAGTCCCAAAAGAGACCCAATATAACCAAGGAAACACTTTAGAGAGAGAAAACTGATATTGTCTTTTTTAAAAGCAAAAGTAGAGACAAAGGCAGAACTGATGATACCCACCTACAGCCTGTCTACAGCAGATGGGAGTGGGGATGTACGGCAATTAGTGAAGAAAATCTACTCTGCCTCTGGGAGCCAAATACTGACTTATATTGCATACTCTAGAACACGAAGGAAGTAAAATGATTACAGTTTCCTTTCAGAGAAATTTGTAGGAAAGAAAAGAGAGGAAAATAAGAGATTACTAGGAAAACAGCAATATTTACTGAGTAGCTACCATACATTGAGATATGAAGGAAGAAAAAACAGTCAGAAGACAGTGCCTACCCTTAAGTTTGAAATTGTGTTAAACAAACAGAAAGCACATTTTTAAAAAGACTAAAAAACACATTTACGCAAGACTAAGTACCACCCCTAGGGGAGAATAAAAAGAAACTGAAGTGTAAGACCTTAGCTGAAGGAGATAATGCCAAGAAGCCAGCAAACCGATCTGGCCTTCCAAAAGCCAGTTCAGGACTGGGAAGTTCAGGACTGGGAAGCTCCAGCTCCCACGGAAGGTGGGGTGAGGTATGAGGTTAAAACTGAGGAGACGGGTGGAAAGACTCTTCTTGTGCAGTAATAAGAACCAACCCCCACACATACATTCTAAGCAGCTGGATGACTTCCCTTTTCTGCCCTGACCACAGGAGACAAGTTTATTTTCTGTGAAATGTGAACCAGAGAATTTCAGCCTCAGGGATACCTGGCACAGAAGTGAACAAGATGAGGCTCCTGAGTGAAAACAGAGGGGTAAAGTAAAACTCTGCCTCCTAAAGCATGAGATTCTCCAGTTCCCAGAATAATGGCAACTAGCCTCAGATTCCTCTTCCAACCATTCCCACTGCTAGGTAGAGGGATAAAGAATCCTGCTCTGAAAAATAAAAAAAAAAAAATAAAAAAATTAATAGCTACCCCTAAAACTAAACAAAACAAAAAAACTGCATATACTGATATTTTTGAGTTTCACAACAATAACAGCAGTTCACTACCTAATCACTCAACAGTTAGGGCCACCAACAGACAAGCCTAGTCAATCAGCTTTTAATATCTTATTCTCAAAAATGAAAAAATAACCAAGCATCACTAAACATTTAAGGAAACTGAAAAACAGACATCAAGGCAAGGGTGGTGCGAGCAGGAGGGGTGGGGGGCGGGGAGGTTATAGATCAGAAGAAACAAAACCAAGACAACACAGAATAGAGAAGAAAAAAAATTTAAAAACCCTATATAACATTTTCAGAGATGGATAAGATGATATTGTATCCATGAAACAAACATGTAACATGAAAAGAAACAAAAAGAATAAAGACAAAAGACTCTTGGAAATTAAGAATATGAGAGCTAAAATTAAAAACAGAAGAGCTGGAAGAGACCAACCAATTGAGATTGAATAAAAAAGGGTAGAGGGTTCCAGAAGTAAAGTCTCAAAGGGAAAATGTAAATTATATGGTACATTTGCCCATACAGAAACTGTACTAAGAGACTATTGGAAGTGTGGAAAAAATTGAAAATAGGTATATAGAAAATTAAGCAAATGAAAAACAATGAGGCAATTATTAACTCCAAAATAACAAAAATCACATATGAAATGAAACATAATATAGTACTCTTTAGCTCAACCGTAAACATTTTCACAGTCTTAATAACAGAAAAACTGAATATCAATTTAATCAAAAGTTGTGGTAGAATTACATTGTGAGGATTAGACAAGGGGAAATCAAGCAAAAAGCATAATAGAAAATCAACAGATAATACGTAAAATGGAAAATAAAAATATAGTAATATAACCACATTATTTCAAAATATAAAGGTAAATACTAGAAGAAAACAATTGAGAATGATTGCTTCTAAGGAGCTATATTAGAACTGAGAAGCAGTGGACAAGACACTGTGCTATCTGCTATATGTATATATTAATTTGTATATGTTAATTTAATTAAAATTAATTTCAAAAGCCTAACACAAATTCTGATATCCTATTACAATGGAATACTATATAACCATTAAAAAAAAAAAGCGATCACATTTGAAAAGGTATCTACAACCAAAAGCCTATTGTGTACCACTGAGAGTAAAAATGACAAAGCAGGTCATGAAACTATACAGACATACCCATAAAGCAATGCCTGGAGAGATGTGTTAACAACATTTTTAACAGTGGTTATAATTTCAGAGTGGGGTATCAATTTATTTTTTAAACTTTTATGCCTTCTATATTGTTTCCATTTTTATTGTTTTGTTTTGTTCTGTTTTCAATGAGCACTCTTTACCCTCATTATCAGAAGAAACAAAAAGTTATCTTCATTAGGGAAAACTGTCATCTTTAATACGCTAAGATTTAAGTACTAGTGAAGGTGGATAGGGCATGGAGAATAAAAAAAAGAAGAAACCCTTAGAAGATTCTAGGTAAGAATTTAAGATAGTAAAGGACATAATTGGCAGAAAAGAAAAGAAATACCTGGTGAATACACTGGCATATATATAAATGTAATCATGGGACCAAGTAATTCAAGATTTTAAAGATCTAGAAATTCTATGGTCCATTGATCATGAGAAAACTGTACTAGAAGACTATTAGAAGTGTAGGAAGAATTAAACATGGGTATATATAAAATTAAGCAAATGAAAAACAAGGAGGCAATCACCAACTCCAAAAAACTGGTAATGATGGGAAACAAAAATAATCATTCTGAACATGGAAACAACAGAGAATTATTTGTTCATAAGTTATGAATGAAAATACAACTAGACTTCTTACCTGCTTCAGTGCAGGGGAACATGGGATCAACTCTCCTATTCTGTTAATCCCAGCATTGATTTTCTTCTTCCTATGCCTCTCCACTAGACAGAGAAAAAAAATCCATTTATCAAACCTTATAGTACTACAGCCAAACTGCCTCATTCTCCCTGGGTAAAGAAATTTTAGGTAAAAATAAAACAAACAAACAAAAAAAAAACACTAAGATCTTATCAAACAATTATCTACTAAAGACTAACTGTAGAAAAATTTCTAAGGATGTCATATTTTAAATCTAGTGTTATAGAAATTAATATAAGCAATACTTTTATTAGCACTTTAAAGAATGATCTATAATAACTATATTCAAATTAAAAACAGAAATTGCTAATAATATATTAATTACTATTAAGCCATTATCATTATATTTCAAGTAGTTACTAGAGATTTTAATGATAACTAAATTTCAAGAACCCACTAATGAGCTAAGTTACTAGAAAGCTGCTTCTTTATAGCAGATGGGCAAATGAGACCTTTCTAGACATATTAAAGTACCTTAAAACACCCTTTAGGATGACCAGAGGACATTTCTGGAATCATCTTATGACTTAAAATAGACAAGAAAAAGCACTGGTTTGTTTTTTTTTTCTGTGGGGTCTGGGCTGTTCACTTTGGCTACATAGATTTTTTTTCCCATCCAAGAAACTGGGCAACTGACTTCTCAGTTAACTGAGAAATGTTCCAGGCTTGCATGCTATAACTTTAAAAATTGTATAGGAAGTGTGAGAAAATACAAGAGATGAGCTAAATAATTTCTGTAAGGCACCGCTGGTAGAAACATTAGCCTTGGCTATTTTCTCTTAGAAAGTTTTCTAAAACTTTCCTGTCTAACAAAGAATTCCAGTCCTTCTAAAGGAATGATCTTTCAGATTGTAGCATAGGTACATCTTGCTTTGCAAAATATATACTTTTTGCTTCAGAATCTAGCAGTAAGGACGTCCCTTTCAATGACATCTAATTACTTTCTCTTAATAAATTACTATCAAGACATATTTATGGCACCATGTGACAGATAATTCCAATAAAAAGATTGAGTTTACATAGCCAAAAAAGATTAGATTTAACTCGCATGGCCAAAAAAAGCAAAGCAATAAAGTACAGCTCACCTTTCTTCTGCATTCTCTAACAACAGTATTTGTTGTTATCTAAAAACAGATTTTTTAATATGTGGAGGTAAAAACAAAACAAAACATTAAGACTCTTGATCCACAGTGATAAAGGGGAATTCAAAGGCAGCAGACTTCCTTCTGGGGAACAGCAATATCCTACAGTGTTTAACACATCTCTCCACAGATAAAATTTTCCCTAGAGTCCTTTCCTTAGGGAAAGGAAGATTTCATTTATAGAGTAATAGAAATTAACTTCTAAATTTTTTTTTAGCTCTGACTGTAGATAATCCTTAAATTATCTAAATAGACAATAAATCAGAAGATAAGCAAGCCATCTTCATAAGACAAGGGGGTGTTTTTTCAATTAAAAACAATAAATGAATACTTTCCTAAAACATAATGAATAATGATTCTATGCTTATAACATAAAAACTTATAATCAACTGCAGTATAATTTCATTTTGAATGCAAAAGGTTAACAACTAAAATTTAAATTGTTGTTTCTACCTGCATTGTGTGTCTCCCGGTTTTTCTTTCTGAAAAAAGAAAAAATGTAGATAAAAGGAACATGAAAATAATGGGAAAATGTTTTCACCACCTTATATTTTGCGACATAAAAATAAATTTTATGAATTCATATTTGTTGCATCGAACAATCTGAAGAAAAATGTTCTTAATATATATTACGGTATGAAAACTTAACTGCAGATACATCAATATAAATTTAAAAACCCACAATTTCTGAAAGTAACTACAATTCTCTATTCCTAAATACCCAGAAGTCTAGTTGGGAACTAACTCAATCACTGAAAACTATTTAAAAAATGTAACTAAGGAGCTAGTCAACTCTCAAAGTGATGTGTCAAGTAGGTGACTTTTGATGTTTGCCCTGGCACTCAGCCCAAGGTGGGAGTATGTAAAGGAGACAAGCAACAGTAGAGAGGAAACTTGAAATCCCCAGGGAAGTGTGGCAGCCACTAACACCCATGCACTGACAATTGGCATTTGAGCTATCTTTTGCATTTATGTACTTTAGGTTATCCAAATTCTTAAATTTTCTTAAAAGCTAATCTACTGAAAACACTGATTTTCCCTTTCATGTACAGTTAATCAATATATTAGCATTCTCTAATAGCTATTTGGTAAGGAAAGAGAACAGCAATTTTAATATTAATGGAAGCATTGGCCATGCAATTCTAAGCAGAAACATTCGCCGAAATGCTAGAAATCTAAAAGAAGGGTTATACAAGAACCAGATATAATATTATACTGATGTGCATATTGGCATTAATGGTTTCTAACGTCACTAAATGTCCATTCAAACCGACTTCAACCTAAGTGAACTTACTGTATGCAAGTAAAAATTTCAGGAGAAACTGATTGTCATTTTAGTTGTTACACTGCTGGTAGAATATGAAGGACAGGTAAATTTTAACTATGTACCCCCTTCCATAAACCTATTTCTATTTATCCACATATAGTTTTGAAGAACAATGGTTTGTTAGGCATCCAAGTGAAAGTTCCCAAACGACTACCTACTTAACAAAGTAGGAGCTAATTCTTCTTATCTTCTAAAACTATATTATTTTTGGACTGTTGCTACATACCTGTGCTGCTTTTTTGTAGGAGTCTCATTCTCTGTCATTTCTGGCATGGTTACAAAGATAGGAACCTACAAAGCATAGAAAGACACACCAGAAAGTTTAAAGTCATTATAGTATCTTAGAGAAACTGATTATTAGCATTTGGTTTGAATACCAAAATGCTAAAAAATAAAAGCAACATCATGAAAAAGCACTGGATTAGGTGTTATGAATAGAAAAAGGCATAAGAAAACAGGACACAAAATATTACAACCAGCAGATGAAGAACATGGTGAATGTCAAATGTGAGATATAGCCAGAAAGTGCTTAAGAAGATTGGAGTAGAGAAAAATTGTTACGGCTTGGGAATCAAGAAAAATTTAAAGGGAGTATCAATTTGAGGAAGACCTAGAAAGACAGGTAAAACAGACTTGAGTTGGGAGAGTATGTTTTTGTTCATGATACTGTTTATTCTTGATACAAAATTTAAACTAGAACAATGGTCCCCATCACTGAACACAGGGTAAACAAAAGTGACAAGCAGACAAACATGTAACATTCCAAACATAGAAGCAAGCAATCATTCATTAATTCACTTATTTGCTAGGCTTCTTTCATTTCAAACTGTTAGAAGACTTACGTTATCATTTGGGAGTCATTAAAATCTGAGTATGAATATAAAAGTTCTATTTACATTTTAAAAATCATGATACTAAAGAATATACGTACTATAAGGAAATATAAACATATGCCCAAAATGTATGAAAGCAAATACATTAAAATATTAATCATAGTTCTATAGGGCCAGCAATATTAGAGCTGATTTCTTTCTCATCTGTGATTTTCAAATATTTCATAATGAAAACTTTAATGCTTTTAAATCTCAGAAACTGAACACCTTTCAAAAGAGGTCTGTCAAGTTGGGCTACCCGTTCTAGTATACTAGAGGACATGCAAATGTGGTTTCCCATTTTCTCTCTGAGAAAGAAAGAAGGCAACAAGTATGGAATTGGAAGTCAGCACGATTTTAAAATCTGGTTCTCCCATTTCCTAGCTGTGTTCTTGGGCAAGTTATATATCTTCTTGGAACCACAGATGTTTCATCTACAAAATGGATCATAATCACAGTATGTAGATCATTAGGTTGCTTCAAGAAGCGAATGAAAGAATGCAGGGAAGGCACAACAGCACAATGCCTAGCAGTAAGAAGAATTCAGTAAATGTTAGCTATGAATAGTAATGAGGTATTTCAGGTAAAGGTTTTAGCCCTGGGAAAGAGGGTGAAGGTCGTGGGAAATAAGTAAAAGTGAATGTAGACAGGGTAATGACAGAGCACTGACTCAAGCAGCCTGAGGAGAAACGTGTGCCCAAGACCCACTCCCAGCAGCTTATTCCACCTTCTCCCTAACACTTATGAGGGCACATACCCACCTAAAAGCAACATGCTCACATTAGATAACCATGTAATGATAACGTGGAACAGGTAAGTAAATAAGTCCCTGTCATCTTTCTCACCTAAGGGCTTGCAGAATTTCTTCACTTTTGATTCCTGGCTTCCAATACCTCCCGTTTCTGATCCAAATTTATCATCTTCTGCCAGAAGATGGTCTATAAGTTATGTTTTCTTCTTACTATACAAGAGAAAAAATCAATGTTTATAGTGGCATGTAAAACAAGGATTGATAACCCATGGCATACAGGCAGATTTTCAGTGGCACGTAGGATGATCCTGAATTCCCCGCCCTCCACTTGCAAAATAATGAATGTAGCTGCTTTCAAAAGTCACTTTCCAATAGCTTATCCAAAAAGACGGTAGTACTGCAACCACTGGATGATTGGTCCCCAGGAGATGATTCTCTCCTTTCTCTTATGCATGTTCACTGTCCTTTAAGTTCTGGTTCTCCACCTCGCTCTTATACTAAGATCTGTCCTTGTGCAGATAAGGGTGAAATACATGGTGATAGAAGATATAACTATGGGTGGTAAACACACAATGCAATATACATATGACATATTATTAAACTGTATACTTAAAACCTATATAATTTTATTTATGAATGTCACCCCCATAAGTTTAAGTTTAAAAAAAGAGGAAAAATCTGTCTTTAATTCTAAAATTATCTTTCCTTGACTCTCCTACTCCCCCTTCTCTCGTGAGAGTAACTGAAAAGCTATTCAAGGCAATGACATTAGGAAGACAGCCCTCATATGTGTGTATCACATGAACTCTGCAAACAAAAATTAAGTTTAGGCCTTAATAAAGAATTACAAGCATTTATTTGAGCAAAACAAGCTGAAATGAAGAGACAGATTCAGGTAGCAATCTAAATTGTGTTCCACTGAGAAAAGGGGGAGGCTACCTATCATAGAGAAAGTTACCACCCAGGTTCCCAATTAGGTCCATTTTATGTAAATGAGGTACTCAGTTCTGGCTGGATGGGGCAGATCTCAATCCCTGGTAGAAAGAGGAAACCAGGATTTCCCTA